GCACGATATTCTAATTATTTGAGTTTCACCTGTATAACAAAATACTGACTACACATCTAACATACACAGCAGCCCTTTACACAAACCCTCTAAGTTGTTTTGACTGGGGTCCTATAGAGGACAGCAGTATAGGCTTTCTCCCCAATCAATAACCCTATCCCAAGTACCAAATATTAACACACAAACCCTGAAATTATACAAAAAGAGAAGCAAAAGAAGGTTATTTTGCTGAGCAGAGTTTACCTGACACAGCGGACAGAGAAAACAGATTCTGGTTTCAGAACAACAAAAAATTTCAAAAGTTGAAATAAAGTTTGTCTTACCAAACGACCGGCTTTTTTGTTGCACTGAACCCCAATTCGCCTTCCCCTCCTCTTGGACCATTCACCGGCGGAGATCTCTGCGCACAGTGGCCGCGTCTCCACATCTATAGGAAGATATCCACTCCAATGGTTTATCCTCAGTGCTGATTAACTCCGGCTATGCTCCATAGAGCATAACCCGGCAAACCTGACATTGAGAGACATGATGACAATATTCACATATACAATCTACTAAAAACACATCCTAATAAAAACTTACCTAATAGTCCAAATAAAATTTCCACAACAAGTACCTCCCTACATTTTTATATCCATTTAGAGTTCTACCTATCCCGATCCCATCCCATATCTTTAGGATTCTCCAAAAATTAAGTCCTACTCTTTATCTGGCACCATACAAAACCTCGAGTTCCAAGATCCATGGCTATACTATCACTGACAGTCTGGAGGTTTAGGTATACCCCACAAAATATTACTACGCAGCCCAATTAGCATCTCTGACTAAATACCAACCTAAAAATGAGGTTCCTCTCTGGGCATCCTTGAAAGCGGTAGAATGTGACCCCTTAAAAACTGATAATCTACTCTTGCTTCAGCCCAAAGTTAGAACTTGTCTTCATAATCAGATTACTCATCATTTCCCTTAAAGGAGAACTATGGGGTTAAGGCTTTTCCCCAGAGTTCTCCTTAGGGTAACGGGAGGACACAAACTAGCGTCCTCCCGTCACCCTAGGCTCAGTATACCACGAGCTGGAGCTCGTGGTATACTGAGACGCCGCAGTATACCGCGAGCAGCTGAGATGCTGCAGCTGAAGCTGATCCCGACAATTGTACCGGGATCCGCCCAGCAGTGTGACTGACAGCTGGCTCTGCCTATCTAAAGGCAGAGCCAGCTGTACCCGCCCCCTCCCCCGTCCGTTCCCCCAGTCAGCGCTGGCGGAGTGGAGCGGGGAATCCAGCCCCTCCCCTGTCATGGCAGAGAGCCGTGACAGGATCGAGAGGTGAGCGAACGCCGGTATGTGTTCGCTCACCTCCCGATCTACTGAGCCGACCTGTGACAGTCTCATTGTCACAGGTCGGCTAGAACTTTGAGGTGAGTGAAAAGCACTCACCTCATAGTTCTCCTTTAAAATATGGGACTTATTGAAATTCTCAGGAGACCTTCTCTCCCCCCTCCTTCTTTTATCTTTCCTTTATGACCCAGCTTTCCCACCAAGTGTAGAGTCTCCTAGTAGTGATGGGCTCAACGTTTGAGCCAAACGTGAGCTCAACTTGAACATCAGTAGTTCGTGTGTTCAGCGAACACACAAGCTGTCAGGGCGTTCGGTGGGCTGTTCACCCGCCGAGTGCCCTGCAAGGCACTGTGCCTTGTGAGCTGTTATTGACTAAAGCCATGCACCTGACCACAGGTCAGGTGCAAGACTTTACCCAGTCAGGGCACAGAGAACTATGAGAGCCAAGATTGGGCAAAGTCATGATGACTTTGTCCAATCATGGCTCACCCGTTACAACTGTAAACAGTTGGGCGGAGCTAGCTGTCACTGCTAGCTCCGCCCAATTGTTTATATGTTGCTGGCATCAAGCCATTCTGCGGCGAGTGAACGTCGCAAGCGGACAGGATGGCGGTCGTCTTTTTTTAAAATTTCTATTTCTTTTTAAAATTTTCTCGAGTCGTCATCGTCGTGGACAACGCTGAATGTCGTGATTGATGCTGGATTACATTGGTGGATCCATTTTTAAAAAAATAAAAGACTTGTCAAAAACATGTGCTGTTGGATTATAACAGATTTTCACTTTTTTTTTTTTAAACATGGTGGATTCAATGAAGATGATGTGTACATACGGAGGAGTACGGACCAATATGAGTGGGTATATAGAGGGGATATATAAGGGTAGGGGTAGTTTTGTAAACGCATATATGGATATTTTTTAGTTGGGAAACTTATGTATATTTTCTTCTTTTTTTTTTTTTTTAAACACAAATTGTCCTCTTCATATTAGACACTGGAATTGTATACTTGAGATAATTAACATGAAATTTAAAATTTGAGGGGACTGAATTTGGCCTTTTTTTTATTTAATTTTTTTACAGGGGGGTCTAGAATGAGTAAGTGGATGAAGGATATTATGAATGTTAAAATATTTTTATGTGTATTAGTATGTTTATATTTGGTGACGCAATGTTGATGGATGGTTGTATTTATTTATGTATGTACAGTATTGAAGTCGAAAATAAATAAAGAGTGATTAAAGAAAAAAAACATGTCTTTTTGTTCAAATAAAGGATTTTTTCAAAAGTCTGGCCTCTTTTTAAAAACTTTTATTTAACCATTTTGCGAATGGGTAGGGGTACAAGTACCCTTTACTCATTCACAAGGGGGGGCCGCACCTGGATGGGGGGGCCGACCCTGGAAAAGCACCCTCACAGTGCCAAGGGCATGTGGCCTGGTATTGCAGGGAGGGGGGGGGCCCGCTCGTCTCCCCCCTTTCCTGTCCTGCTAGGCCTGTGCTTGGATCAAGGTCTGGTATGGAATTTGAGGGGGGACCCCATGTTCCTCCTTAAAAATCCTACCAGCATTTTTTTTCTGCTCAAGAAAAAACCCGTGCAATGCATAGAGCCGTTACTGGGGATTGTTAGCCCCCTATGTGATAGCAATAACAATAAGTGTAAAAAATATATATATAAATAAAAAAAAAGTAAAAAAAATAAGTCACATATAAAAAAAAGTTAAAAAAACCCCCTAAAAATGTTTACGCACATATAAACGTAAATATGCGTCCGGTGCACCAGCGCACGGAAACGACAACTGTGCTACATATGTAACATATCGCCGCGAACGTCGCAGTGAGAGCAATCATTTTAGGGCCATCAATCACTGATAACACTAGACTGATGAGTGGTAAAAGCTTTTAAAGCGTCGCCTATGGCCAATTTTGGGTATTATCGGTTTGTGAGGTTTGGCGCGCGCACGCAATTTTAAGGCTTGACATGTTTGGTGTCTTTTTACCCGACGTGACCCCGTCTTTTATATTTTACCAAAAAATTGGGTAAAAACCACAGTGGTGATTAAATACCACCAAAAGATATTTTTATTGTTTCACTTTAAGTGATGTTAAAATCACTGATCCTTTAAAAATTTTATTTTTTAAAAGTGTTTTTTTCATTGATTCATGTTCCCCATATCCGAATCCCCATATCCTTTTTATGGCCATTAACAAAGTTCTACCCCCATAGACTTGCATTGAGTATTATGAGTTCGAACTTTTCCCATGTTCGAAAGTTCGAATTCGAACCGAAGACGGGGGTTTTCGGCTCATCACTATCTCCTAGTCTATTCCCCCTATGGCAATCCAAAAAACCTTACCAAAATGTATAACCTTTTAGATAAAGATGGCATCAAATAATTGTAAGTCCTCTAATCCAACCATGCTTGAAAACTAATCCAACCACGCTTGAAACTCTTTAGATTCTTACAAATAAAACATTTCATTATTTTGCTCTTCAATATCCCACAGTGTCCAACTCCCTTATCTCCTTTTGAGAAGATTTGCATCAGTAATCCTCATTCCCTAGGTCTGATCTCTTTTGTTATTTGGTCTTCTTATCTCTGGTACAACCTCCCTACATCACGCCTACATGGAAATCTAGCTCCAGTAATGTTTTAGCTCTTGAAACCAATTACAAAGTATTATACTGTTGGTATATGGTCCAAAACCACCTTAAGCGCTTTTTCCCTATTGCACTGGCAAATGTTTTCAAGGCTGTCCTAAGGATGGAACGTTTATCCATATATGGTGCTCATGCCCTGTTGCTTGGCATTGCTGGTATAAAATGTATAAGATGATAGCAGAACTGATGGGAATGTATGTACCTCCTAATCCACAGGAAGCTCTTCTTAATATTAAACCATCTATCCTTACTCACCTTCAATTTAAACTTATGCTTCATGTTCTTGTTGCAGCCAAAAGGACCATTACTGGTGCCTGGTTGAAAAACACCCTCTCTTTTTCTGTTGCCATATCTAAGTTTCAATGTTTTTTTACCAATTAAAAAAGACTGACTGCCTCCTAGACAGAATGTCTATTTTTGAAAAATTGTGGGATCCCTGGATCAAAGATTACCTACGCTCTTCATTTGAAGGATGTTTGGTTACTTTATGAATTGATCATATTCTACCCTGTTTAGGCTTCGATACCCAGCCTTCACGAGAGCGTGCACCCCACCTTCCCCCTTTCTCTTTCCTTTTACCCTCTCCTCTACCACACCTTCCATTATTGCAAATATCCTTTCCTTATTTATTCTAACTTCTATATCCATTCTCTGTTACCCATTAAGGTTAGTTGTTGTTATGACTTACTTCTTAGACCTTTCAAGACTTCTCGAGTGCTACTCTTCATTTTGTGGTGGATAAAAGACCTCTTGCTCTTAGGTGAAGGTTGAGCCTTAGCTCCGTATCAAATAGTGCAAGAAAATCACAATCAGAGCAAAGAGTGGAAATAGGAAGTATACCCACTAGAATGTCAGACTGTCACTGTTAGGTTAGGTGTCCAACTTTCACCTAAGAGCAAGAGGTATTTTATCCACCACAAAATGAAGAGTAGCACTCATTTATGAATGTAAAAAAAAGCTTTTAAATAATAATGACAGATAATTATTGATTGATTTTATATTTTCAGGGGGTTCTGGAAAACTTTATTGGAACAGCAATTTGCGGTGGAATGTTTTGTCTGTTTGCTGGACAGCCTCTAACTATTCTAAGCAGCACAGGACCAGTCCTTGTATTTGAGAGGCTTCTGTACAATTTTAGCAAGTAAGTATTATTGCAAAAAAGTAAATCTAGAAAGCATCTTCTGTATATCTAATAGTTTGGGTCTGTATTAATTAAAATGAGAACTCCAGTGTTTTCCATAACACTCAAACTTTAGTTCTAGTCATAGGCCTGCGCACAGGGTGTGCTGGGTGTGCCTGGGCACACCCTAATCACCTCGAGTGCAACAAGAAACCGCAACAGTGGGCGCTCTTTTTTTAGTCACTGAGCAGGTGGGGAGATCACAAAGATCTCTCTGTGACCGGCTCAGTGATAAAGAGCAAAGCAGTACTTGCAACTAACATTCCTCACATAACAGCCGCACTCCTCAGTGCCTGGAAAGCTGCAAGGGAGCGTGACTTCAGCTTCCCATTCAATCAGGAAGCTGGTCAGGTGCCAGGCTCCTGGCTTCATTACTGCACCCCTGCTGGAAGAGATAAGGGACAGTTGAAGAGATGTGAATCTGGTGTGTGTGTGTGTAATATTTCCTGACACCAACATGGCAGCATACAAATGGGTTTAGCTCCGCCTCTCACCCAATCACACCAGTTATACTATAAATTAAAGCACGCCTCCCAAGGCCACCATTCTTTTTTCGGTCCTCACTGCTCAAGCCGGTTATACTAAGAATACTTTTGATTTTTACCTCAGCTTGCCTTTGGCCTGCCGCACATGTTCAGCCTCTCCTTGTTGCAAAGTTCCCTTTGTTCAGGTGGCTAAATGTTATTTTGTAAGAGAAGCCTCCCCCCATATCCTCAGAGTTTGGGGTGCAGTAAATGGTCTCTTGGGGTCCTTTCATATTCGGATGCTTCCTCCATCATGGCGGCATGTTGAAGACACCTGCTTGGCCTCCTGGTCTTCTGAAGAAACCATGACTCAGATGCAAACTTAAGAAACTATGGTTGTACTGGAATAATCACATGCATGGACAAGATGACAAGTAGGATCCACTCCATTTTCTTTCAATTACTTTACGTAGCGAATGTGCTACTATTTCCTATGGCTTTGCAGTCCTGCTCTGCACTGGCTGAATCTTCTTTGAATATCTGTTATTATGCCTGTAGATCTATTCAGTAATCAGGTGTGCTTAAACCGTACAGGTGCATTGCAGGGAAGTATGTGGTTCTGTGGTGCTGCTAAAGCCTTAGTTGAATCTTGCAGGTTTTTTTCTAAAAATCCATTAGTTTGCTTGTGGTGCTTTAACTCTGCAGGTGCTTGCTGATGTTATGGAAATTCGCTTGGTTAAACGCACAAATCCATGCCGCACTAAAGTGCGCCAAACACAAATAATTTCCTTGTGCTTAAAAGCACGTGTATTACGCTCTTTTGTGCAAGGACCGGAGGTACCTCTGTAGAGTCATGTAGAGTCAGGACACGGTGATGTTTTCATGCTGGTGGTTCTGTTCTTAGAGACCTTGTCTCCCGGCTCCCTTTATTTTTATATATGTCTGACAGGAAGTGATAACAGGAAGTGATACAAACAGGAAGTGATGTCTCAAACAGGAAGTGATGTCTCAAACAGGATTAAGGTAAAAGGCAAAAGGAACAGGAGAGTACACCAACATGGCCGAACATTGAAATGCACACACACCTCATTCTTGTAAAACAAGGAAGGGTGTTAATTTTCCCGAACAGTCATGTGGTTGCCCATCCCCATCATCGTCAGCATGGACCCCATTCAATACTGCTCAGAGTGACCAGTATCTAGTAAGATCATTCTACTTGTTCTTATAGGATTGAGACTATCTGAGGAGACATTGCTAATGCGGTTATCTATATACGGTACCAGTATACGGACAAGGCATATTATCAATGTCTTCTTATAAAAGCAGATATGTATCCAAAAGGGATAGCGCAGTCCGCAATAGAGGTATAATACTGTCAGGGATACCGGCACAGGTGACCCCCACACCTGCGCAGGTACCCACACAGGCAGACCAAACACGTGTGACCACACGGACCAGGCAAGTATGGTATATATAAATATTTTAATAAACCTAGCAAACTAACAGAAACAATCCACAACAGGCATAAACCAATAATGTGACCCCAGACACCTAGAACATACAACGGGTGTAACAACACAGGAAACAGGGCACAGGAGTCAGGGTACAAGATAGCATACAGGTATCAGGGTCTCAGGGTTCAGGACAGAGGACTCAGGCAACAGGGGAAGGCAACGGAATCCTGAGCCAAGGTCCAGACTGCAGGGAGGGTTTAAATACCCTCCCTGGAGCAATAGCTAATGGGCTGATTCCTGGCCGCTGGGAGACACCCACAGGTGAGCACTGGAGTTGCAGGTACCAGCACCACCCAGTGGTGGTCTGGTACCTAGCAACCCCTGGCTGCCTGGAGAATCCTGCAGGTGAGCCCAGGAACCACCTGTAGGCGCTGTGGATCCTAACAAATACGCATCTCGTTATATGGACTTCGCTAATGTGTACATACGTTTGAAGGCAAGGAGCCCAGCGCATTGCACTTAGTACTCACAAACCGGCAAACGCCTCCACACACCGCAAACATGTCTCCAAGCCCATGAGAAGGTTTTCATACTGACGGTTTTACCGCTGGTCCCGATTCAACCCAAGTACCCTCTGCTAAAGCGTTCCTCGGTTAAATCTGACACAGGGAGACAGATGACAATACCCAAAACACACACATCCTAGAATAAAATGTCCACATAATTCCATATAATACAATTTCCACAACACTGAGTGCAGTCTGCTACAACGTGTAGCTCTGCTCCTACAACTTTAGCTGGATCTTACAGAAATCTGTTGTTTGTTAACTCTGTCAGCTTCAAAGCTTCCCTCTTGTGCCTTAACTCTTTGGGTGCCTTTCATGTGAGTATTGTAGCTGACACCTGTGGTTCCTCAGCGATGTTAATATTTAATGGAGTTGTTGCTTTATTTGCAGGCTTATTCTGTCTGTTATACTGTAATCCTTTCATTGCCCCATGTATACAGCATTGTGGTTCATGTCTAGCAGGTTCTGACAGATCCTGTTGTGCTATAACCCTTCAATGCCCCATTGGTGAGTATGTGGCTACCATGTGTACAGCATTGTTAATGTCCAACTGGTACTGAGAGGTACTATTTAATCATATCAATCCTCTTCAGCTTATCTGTAACTACAAAGGCTGGACCATGTGTTCAATCCAAGATGGCATTAACCCCCTTATCCCCAAGAGACCGGCTACATTCTATAAGGTGATGGTCAGGTAGGTATTAAAAAAAAAAGTGCACATGCAATGTCTTAATGAAATTTAAATATTTTTAGCTCTATTGTCAGCACTGTTTTTCAGAGTGCATATGTAGGGGTTAATAGATTGTAAATCTCTCAAGCCCTTTGCCACTACTGCTTCTCAGAGTGCACATGCATGGATTTCTGAATTGACCTACCATAACAAGAACAATTAAAAAAAGTAGTGGGGAGCAAGAGGGAAGCAAAAGTCTAACCAATAATAGTACAAACATTAAATGTATGTTCACCAATGCTAAAAGTCTAGCAAATAAATTAGAAGAACTTGAAGTTATGCTTGGGGGGGGGGGGGTATGCATTTATGTTAAAAATAACCTCCATATGCACATAGAGGACAATATCACGTCAGATGGTGGAGATGACTTGGAATCTTTATGGCTAGAACTAGATAGAACGGACCTTAGTCGTAAATGTATTGTGGGTGTCTGTCTTAAACCTCCAATATAGGGGAGGAGGAGGAGGCACATCTACAATCCCAAATAGAAATAGCTGAGAAGCAGGGAAATGTTGTGGTAATGGGCGACTTCAATTACCCAAGCATTAATTGGGCTGATGGAACTTTCCATTCGGTGAAGGCGGCCCGCTTTCTGAACATGTTGCGAGACAATTTCATGGATCAGATGGTTGAGGCTCCAACTAGAAAAAATGCAATCCTAAATTTGATCATCTGCAATAATACGGAGTTAATTGAGGATATTGTAATCGGGGAGACACTGGGTGATAGTGATCACAAGGTGATTACTTTTAATATTGGCTACAGGAAAGGAAAGTGGGCTGGTCGGACGAGAAGCCTAAACTTCAGGAAGGCTAACTTTGACAAACTATGCAATATAGTGGGTGACATCGAATGGGAAAACTTATTTCATAAACTAAGCACTGACCAGAAGTGGGACTGTTTTAAGAACAAATTAAAAAATGCTATTACCAAGTGTATACCATTGGGTAACAAAAGTAAAAGGTCAAAAACAAAGCCTATATGGCTAAATAAAACAGTAAAACAACACATTAAGGACAAGAAAGTGGCATTTAGTAAGTATAAGATGGAGGGGACAGTATTGGCGTTCCAAAACTACAAAGAATGTAATAAAAGATGTAAACTAGTAATTCGGGCAGCTAAAATTGAATGTGAGAAGTATATCGCCACAGTTAGTAAAAGGAACACCAAAAAATTCTATCAATACATAAATAGTATAAAGGGGAGAAAAGAACAGATAGGCCCAATAAAGGACGGAAAAGCGGGAGGTTAGTCACAAACGACAGGGAGAGGGCCGAGGCGCTAAATACTTTTTCCCTCTAATCAGGATTGTATCTCATAAATGTGAGCGAGTCGCCCAGCTAGCTGTTCTTTTTTTTTTCCTCCCTAATCTACAGGTTGTTTTGTTGCAGGGTGCATACCTGGCGAGGATAATGTATTTGCTGTCCGCCGTCGGCTAGTTGGGGAAGTCCCTTCTATGATGTCCTAAATGGCTGGCGATCCTCGGGGCAGGCTAGGCAAATGCAAGGCATTTGAAATTGCAGTGTGGGAGACTTGTCTAAGCACCTGTGGGGATTATTCCATTCCTTCCCCTTCAGCATGGTACTCTCTATGGGGCTGAGCCAGTGTAAGGTCCGGCCAGCGAGGTCCCTTCCGCCTCCGTGGTTTCGTTTTCGGCGGCGGAGGTTGGAGCAACACAGCTAGAGCTCCTGTTCTTTCCTCCGCCGCTGGTTAGCCTAGCGTGCAGGATCCTTGGAGTGCACAGATG